AGCAAGGTGGGGCGATCCCGTGATAACTGTGGGATTCAGTAAACCACAATTTTCTGTCTAATTGAAGCGGCATTTCCCACAAGCGGCTGCACGGCTTTTGAATAACTGTCCTGATACATAGCTTACCGTTTGGTCATTCATCAGCGAAAAGTTAAAGCGGCCTAGAGGTGCTTGAAGAGACCAACTAGTCACGTAAGACCGATATATAACGGATCAATTCATGGCTGAGACGCAATTCTACCTCACAAAAATCAACCATCAGCGACTTTAGTTGACTTTTCCTCATGTCTTTTCAAACAGTGAAGTTACATTCCGTCCCTCCTAGGTTAACCAACACCCAGTGAATAAATTATGAAAGACTAAAATTCCTGTGCGATCGATTGGTGTTAAAGCACCGAAGCTGAACATTTCTACCACTACTGGCCACCGTGGTGATTTATACTGTCTATTTTGAAACTCATTCTATACTGGGGGCATCCCTGAACATATTTTCAGATGTTTTGCCAACCAAATAAACGCCTTACACCTTTAACAATGAAGCAGAATCTTAAGCAGTCTCACGGACAGTGTATGGATTGTCTTCGATCGAGACAATTTGCAGTTGTTTCAGTGTCAGTCTTCGTCGCTAGGAAATCTCAGCGTAAATGACACGTATATTTTTAAATACTATCCAAGATCTCTATAAAAACAGTCGTTTACTTAAACTATTTATAAAATTGTTCACATTATAGTGGTCATCAAGGAAAGTAAGACTTCTGATACTTAGCATTCGGAAGAAACAAATGATTCTGTTTTATTGCAAAACTATTGTCTTTTTGAAAAGCAAATTTGGCAAACACGTGTGCTCGGTAACTCGTAATCAGGCCAAAACAGTTACATTTAAATAGGCGAAGTTACAGGGTTTTTAAGTGATTCAGGAGTTATTAACACTCATCGTTCCTACGCCGCCTGCCTGGCGAGGCGATTTATGGCGTGGTTGGCGTGTTATGGTCATTGGGTCAAGGGGGCGAGGGGGAGATGTAACATAGACTATGAGTGATGGTTGCAAGTTGGGTACGTTGAGCACACACCACTGTCAATAGGAGGTGGGGGCGACGTGCAATCAGCATCTGGGGTCAGCGTTGGCCACAAAAGACAGAGCGTCTGTGTCAACGTCTTCCGAAAACATAGCACTGGATTGGCTAGCCGTATAGCCACTGCCTCTGCTGTAGCTAGCACCCGTTGGCGTAGGCCTCTGGAGAAGCTTGCTAGTGTCGCGTAGACACCCTGAAAGACTTCTGTGGCATCAAGTCGGTGATTTGTATCGACAAGATGTGCGGGAATAGAACTGGAAATCGATTTTTTTCACCTCTACCTAGCCAAGCCGGTATTTGTTCACGCACTCTCTTTTCCCGGCGCCTCCAAGTCACATACATGTGCATTGTCTTTTTATCAGTTTTTGGTAGGCTTCTTTAGGCAGCCTTAAAAAGCCGGGATGTCAGGGGACGGAGACCCACCCTACCGCAGCTGTACCGTCGCACCCTGTTTGCCCATGCAGTTGCATGGTAGCTCGATGACCATCCACGCACGAGGATATCCTTGCGCTGTTATGCAGCGACCCTAATTAGGCTGCCTGTTGCAACACTGTCTCCGGCGCATACTTGCCCGTGCGCACAGGCGGCAGTCCTTCACCGGACATTCTGATATCGGACTGCCATCGCGTCTGGCCACTACTCCCCGAAACCAAGACTCTGTCTGGTGTTGGACCAGTCACAGCTATTCAAACTGACCAATCAGATTGGAGACCGTCGCATACATGTTCTCGCTCCGGCTGCTCTGACACATGCTCCGGCTCCAGCAGCGCAGGATGCGCGTCTCTCATCCGGAGGCAAATTTGCACCGCATGATGTGTGAAGTGGAGCCCAGAGAGGCCCAGTTCTATCGCCAAGACCAGGAGTAAAACCTACCTTGGACCTTTTAAATACGCCCTTACTGAACCGTAACTGATATCGGTGTCTGCATGATAAAGTTATGAAACTGTAAGTATAAACTGCTAAATGAATGAAAGCGT